TGAGGAGGTGGGGAATATATAATAAAATAATAATAATCCTTGCATTTGATACAGCGTCTTATCACGTCTTTGAGACATTTCAAAGCGTTTCACAAGATATACTGTAAAGTGTAGTGACTGTGTGTTTTGTGGGCGAAACGCAAGACAGGATCTCCCTGGAGTTGAGCTGGCTCCAAAATGACATAACTTGGGAATGGGATATTGAAATCAAATCAACACTTTACAGAATTAATGTACAATGAGGAGCTTTGTGCAGCACAAGACCTTTTCCTCCTTTCAAGTGCTCTGAGACGCTATCGTGGGTGGAGGGCGCTATAGAAGTAGAAGTTGTCATTGTTCTTCTTCTTCCAATCTATCATTGCTGCAATTGCAACGCATTCGAATATCCTTTGCTCATCTTCAGAAAGCCTGACACAGAGAGAGCTCATCAATTAGTTATACAGTGGCTTCACCTGTTGTTTGAGTTGACTTTTCATGAGACTGGAAGAGTTCAGAGATCCAGTGATACTGTTGAGTTAATGTAAATAAGCAGGTGTGCAGAGTTTGGCAGCTCAATGGATTCGCCCAATCGCAGTGTGAAAACTGACATGGCTGACTGCATGATGTTACGGAGTAATAGTTCAATGCGTCTCGTAATGGTAAGATTTGACAGAGAGATTGCCTCAACTTTGTTACAAGCTTCTTTTTCCAGTGCTTCATGGATGATGTCAACTAAAGCAGAGAGAACTCTTGTTGAGACTGTCTCAAAGCGCTTCACCGAATACACTGTCTAGTGAACTGACTGTGTATTTTGTGGGCGAAAGTATAGTTGCGAGCACAAAAAAGTGTGTGGCTTATAAATCATCTGTTCTGGGTTTCTGTCAGTGTGAAACGATTCATGAAAGGATTCAGTTGTAAAGCATTGATATGTTAAAAATAGCAATTATTTATTTCCAGAAGTAATCACTGTAAATTTCCTGCAGTTCTTTATATATAATAATAATAACAATAATCCTTGCATTTGACACAGCGCCTGATCACGGCTTCGAGACGTCTCAAAGCGCTTCACAGAAAACGCTGTAAAGTGGATTAACTGTGTGTTTTGTGGGGAAACGCGGCAGCCAATTGCGCACAACAGCGTCCCCCACAAACAGATTTTACATGTCCTCTCCTGCTTTAAGAATGCTCTTTTAAGGTCAACTTTTGTAATAGGATTTCATTACTTCCCCTGTCTGAGCCCCCGTTTTCCACTTAAAAATACCAATCCCCTCGCACACCCCCCCACCCCATCTAACTCGTCTTTCATTGGTAAAGTTCTTTTTTCCCCTCAATATCAATTGTTCAGATTTGCCCAAATTTTTCATGCTCGCGCTCCCTCCGGCTGACTTCTGGCAGGTTATTACTAGTTGCTCAGTTATCTCGAAAAAAAAAAAAAAAATGTGACCCAAACCCACGTAAAACATTAAATGTGCTGACAGTGAAATAGCGTTTTTTCTTTTCCCAGTGTTTGTGTGAAATGATCTGGTAAAATGGATGCTGTTCAAGCAATGCTTTGCTGCCTTCCCGTCAGAAAATGATAAATGTTCTTGTCTTTAAGCCCAAATTCCTACCAACCAGAAACACTTTCCACAGAGCAACCACGACTTTCCAGCTGTGTCCCTAATGTACCAAAGAAAAACTTGATTAAGGAGCATTTACTTCTCATTTGCAGAAGTTACTGTTCATTCATCTTCTCTAAAAGGAGCTGTTTTTATTAAAGAATCGATATGGTAATGCAATACGAATTATGCGTTTTTTTAATACAACGAAGATTTTCGAAAGGTCTTAACAACGCCATGGTTACGTTACGCACTTCAAAGCTGCAAACACAAGGTAATAATCCCTTAAAAAAAATTAATAGAAATAATTTGGTCACGCAATCCACGACTGTCACCTCTCGGCTGGACTACTCTAACGCCCTCCTCGCCGGCCTCCCCTCCACTGCCATCCATAAAATTCAAATCGTTCAAAGCTCTGCCGCCCACATTCTCTCCCGCACCAAACTCCTCTCCCCGATCCCCCCAGTCCTGGCCAGACTGCACCGGCTGCCTGTCCCATAGAGGATCCACTTCAAATCCCTCCACTCCTCTGCACCCCCGACCTCTCTGACCTCCTCTCTCCTCAGCACAGTACCCATTGCCTTCGTTCCTCCGGGTATGGCCTCCTCCTTGTCCCCCAAGTCCTCCGTTCCACCCTCGGCGGCCGCGCCTTCAGCCACTGCGCTCCGAGGCTCTGGAACTCCCTTCCTCACTCCCTTCGTCTCGTTCCCTCTCCCTTCCCATTTTCAGGTCTCTGCTGAAGAAATTTCTTTTTGACCGCGCCTTTGGTCACCTTCCCCCTCCCCCCGGCTCGGTCCCGGGATCCGTTACTGTGAAGCTCTGAGACGCCGTCCGACGTGGAGGGCGCTCTATAAATCCAAGTTGTTGTTGTTGTTCTTGTTGACTGTTTGTGGGACGCTGCTGTGTGCAATTGGCTGCTGCATTTTGCCCACAAAATATACGGTCGGTTCACTTTACAGTGTATTCTGTGAAGCTCTTTGAGACGTCTCAAAGACGTGGTAAGGCGTTATTATCAAATGCAAGAATTGTTATTATTTATTGCAGGGAATGAAACACAGTATTGTATTAAAATTGACACCTTTCTCATCCAATTCACCGTGTTGTCATTCCTTCACACACAGTAATTCCTTCTTTAGCAAACTCTGATTTACCCGGATTCAGCAAACATCACTCAACCTACTATGTTCATGTCCAGCTCAGCACTGTTCACAATGCAGTGTAAGATAAGCGTTGGCATCTGATTAGATTATCAGGTAAACAAGCAATGTCATATTTAATGCTCAAATTTTGGGAGATTCTTCAAATCAGCTGGCTAGCTTTCTGTCTTTGTAGAACTACCCAAAAAACAGCTGGAAAGTTATGAATGAGTTCAGCAATTTGCAAAATTTTGGACTTCTGAAATTCTAAAATAAATAGATAAATACTGCATATAAATAGAGTAAATCTGGATCCAGCTGCAATATGTCCTCAGTGCAGTTTAACTGTCATGCAGATTATGTTAATACAATCAATATTATGCTGGCATAGAACAGGATAATAACGGCAGCAGCAGCTTCTACATAATAATACTATACAGTATAAACCTTGCATTTGATACAGCGCCTTATCGCGTCTTTAAGACGTCTCAAAGCGCTCCACAGCCAATTCACTTTACATATATCCTGTGAAACGCTTTGGGACGCCTCGAAGATGTGATGAGGCGCTGTGTCAAGTGCAAGGATTATTATTATTATCGTTATCTTTTTAAGGCGGCAAATGCATTTGAAAGTGAATTTTCCTAATGTGTTTGCCTGCGCTGGTGATGTTTCAGCAGACCGTTCAAACTGTGTCACAACCCAATCCTGTGCTCGATCCAATGTTCACACGCGCGCACTCTCCAGGAGAGAGAACTTTGGTTAATTTTTTTTCTCTGTTCCTTTGGGAGTCAGTGCCAATTGTAGTTCTCTTGCTGCGGAGATCCGCAAATCTCAGTGTGGGCAGGGGATTGAACCCAGGGGAGGCTGGCAGGCTGGACTGTCAATCAGCAGTGCCTTGGTGTACTGCAGACCCACCTGGCTTGGGAAGCAGATTCCCTCAACCGCCATAGAGCTCCGGCTCAAATCCCACATTCTGTTGCCAAGCGTATCACCTTGGAGCCAGTTCAGCTCAAAGGATACCTGGCTTAGCTCCCCAAGGGGGATAGGAGAGTCCTGCACTACAGAGGCAATAATAATAATCACATTAATAATCCTTGCATTTGCTATAACATCTTATTTATTTATTTTGAAGGGATTATTACCCCCTGAAAAGCGATCCGCCAATCGACTAGCAACTTGCCCAATGTTTCGCCCTGTCCTGCCTGGGAATCAAACCTGGGTCCGCTCGCTTGCGAGGCGAGTGCTCTAACCACTGAGCTACAGGACTCCATAACTTAAATTCACTTATGATCAATTCTTCCCTGATTTCCCATAAGTGACTGATATTAAAATAATTCCTGGAAAGCAATGTCTATCCTGTCAGAATTACCAACATGTTTTTTCCGTCAGTGCATCATAATTGGAGATATGAGCGTTTAAAACTCACATAAGAACCATAAATCTATCAGCGGAGTTCAATTATACTGCAAAATTGTATATTTCGTGTATTATACAATTAGAAGACTCATTAAACAAATGATGTATACCACTCAAGCTGTGTGAGGTGGTGCTATCAATCACCTTTAATGGTTCATGTGGGTTAGCTGACTGGATCATTAATAAAGTATTTATGACGCATGGGCATTTTGGGGGAAAAAAGGACCAAAAAAAACAAACTTTTGTTGAAGCATTTTATTGTAACTGTATATTGCCTCCTACGAGAACACACTCTGGCAATTCTGTAAGGTGACTATTCCAGGGAATTAGTAACGACCAGAGAAAACTCATGATAAGTAGTCACTCGGAGGGGAAAGTGTACAGTGATGCATTATCCAGAGTGACGAGTTAGATATAAGTACCCACGCCTCTGTTTACCAGCAGTCAGTAGGAACCCGGTTGTTAGTCGATTGGCGGATCGCTTTTCCCGGGGGAATAATCCCTTCAAAAAACAAAAATTTCCATAGATAATAATTTGGTCTCTCAACCCACGGCTGTTTGTGGGGGACGCTGCTGTGCGCAATTGGCTGCCGCGTTTCGCCCACAAAATACACAGTCGCTATACTTGACAGTGTATCCTGTGAAGCGCTTTGAGGCATCACAAAGACGTGAGAAGGCGCTGTATCAAATGCCAGGATTATTTTTATTGTGCTTATTGTTATTGTTATTATTATGTCGATGCCCACAACCTTCTGACTCGGAGACAAGCATTCAGATTTAAAATCAGCTTCTGTTTGTTTCGAACCTATCTGCAGGAATACTGACTGATTACTGACAAACCAACCTGATTTCTTAATTTGCTTTCTTCCAGAAATACAAAGACTATGAAAAGACCGTCACAGTGGAGGAAATAGATGGCCTCCAACTCGTCAAGAAAATAGCAAAAGACTTGGAACGGATGTTTCATAACAAAGTTGAAGCCATGAGAGTAAGTGCCGCTTTCTTGATCCTGTGTAATATTATATCTGTATTACCTTTTCAGTTTGTATAATTTCTCTTCAGTTGTAAAATAATAATTATAATAATAATAATCCTCGCATTTGACACAGCGCCTCATCACGTCTTCGAGACATCTCAATATACTGTAAAGTGTATTAACTGGATATTTTGTGGGTGAAATACGGCAGCCAATTGTGCACAGCGACGTCCCCACAGACAGTCGTGGATTGATTGAGTAACCCCGTTATTATTGTATTTAAGGGATTATTATCTCTGGAAAAGCCAACTTGTTCCTTTCTATCCGAGTTTGTTTTTTTCCCGGCTGTTTATCACAACTGTTCAGCAAAACCGCACCGTGAATGATACACGAAAGCCAATGTAAAAGCTTCAGTAAGTGAGACCAGTTTTAGCCTCAACTTGGAATTGACCAGGACATATCAGTGTATTCTATCACCTTATGGATAACGCAAACTGCAATTAACAACCATTAAAACTTCCCTTAACCATTTAAAACATACATATTTCGAGCAAATTATAAAACCATTACCAGAAGGTATTATTGACCTGTGTACCCCAGTAAAAAAAAATTGATTCCAGTTCACAGGGTTGGAATAAATATCGGATAACGTGTAAAACGCATTTTGTGTGGAGAGCATTTTATTCTGACAGGAGTTCTTATGGTTCTGGTGCTCATTATTGCCTTTGAATGAAAAGTAATTGCCACTATACAGTAATTCAATTTCAGCAAACTCACGCTTCACTTCCCTGATGTGCCACAGTTGCAATGCTCTAGGTTTTGAAGGCATTTTATCATGAGAATTCAGCACGAGGCAGTCACGTGATATTGCTCGATACGCTGCGTTATTACTTCCATTAATACAGAGTTGGCTGTGTGCTACAAAGGGATTCGTTGGTTATTTTTTTCCCCTCCGTTACTGGGCCAGGTTTGCTAAACCGCGCAATGTGTTGTCGTTTGGCCAAATGCTTGTGACCTGAGATTCAGGTACCAGGACAATCTTGTAGCCAACGTTTTGCATTTCCGTTTCTGTCCCATCTTGGCCGTATATTGTGAGTTCATTTATACTGAGCTTGAAGCATTGACCCAAAGCAAATACGGCATTGAATAGATGAAATTGCAATTTAATTGCGGTTGCGAATTCACAATGAGCTTCACGCTAATGGATGGCGAGTGGAACCATCTTAAGGAGTGATTTGCATCACTGCAATAATAATAATAATCCTTATATTTGATAGAGCTCCTTTAATATCAGTGTCTACAAGTGCTTTGCAGCTAATTTGTGGATTCCTGTAGCTCAGTGGTTAGAGCTCTCGCCTCGCAAGTGAGGGGACCTGGGTTTGATTCCTGGGCAGGACAGGGGGAAACCATAGGCGAGTTTCCTTACTCCACGCACACGCCTCGGTTTACCAGCAGTAAGTAGCTTTTCTGGGGCTATTAATTTAAAAAATAATAATAATAATAATTTGGTCACTCAATCCACGACTGTTTGTGGGACATTGCTACGTGGAATTGACTGCCGTGTTTTTTTGTCAACTCTAGCCGACCAAACCAAACTCGACAAGTGTCACGATCGGGATAATACAATTCAGGTATAGATTGGGTTCTTGCTCCACACACAAAAATAATTCCTGCCTCACATTACGCTATTCCAGAGAGTGGAGTGGCGTTAATATCAGACGTAAAGCACAGCATTTCAGAGCCTGTTTTAATGCACTAATGGAGCAATTCCTAGACACGGAAAGAATGAATCTAGGATGGATGTTCGAAATGTAAAACGGGAAGAGGGAATGACATGGAGTCCTGTAGCTCAGTAGTTAGAGCACTCGCCTTGCAAGCGAGACACCTGGGTTTAATTCCAGGCAGGACGAAACCTTGGGCAAGTTTCCTTACTCCACACATAGTGATAATCCCTCCAAGCAAAACAATAATAAATTGGTCATTTTCAATCCACCACTGTTTGTGGGACATTGCTATGCGCAATTGGCTGCCGCGTTTCGCCCACAAATATACAGTCAATTCACTTTACAGTCTATTCTGTGAAGTGCGTTGAGACGTCGAGAAGACGTGAAAAGCTCTATATCAAATGCAAGGATTATTATTATTATAATAACATACAGGAAAAGCTTTCCTATTTGGGAAGAAGCCACAACTTGTAATGCATGACCCCTGTGTAGCGTTCAGAATAATAAGTACAGTACCTCTCTATGTTGAAATAATATAGTTACGTAAATAAATTTTAACAACTCTCTGAATTGGTATCTGGAGATTGCATTATGTTGAGGTAATTATTTTAATGATAGCAGTCATAGAAATGGAAACCATCTGTTTCAACAAGATTCAATAACAAGTTACAACTGTTCCGTCCCTCAATCCTCTAACATTTCCCCTTTTTCTGTTTCTTTTATCACCATATTTGTATGATTGTTTTGGCTATGGAATTCACTGGTTTTGATGTCTGGTCATTAAATGCTCCAGAATTACTAAATGTATTGCCTTGTGCTAAATGATTGGAATGAAGGGATTGACATAATCCTAGAGTTTTTAACATAAAGGCATAGTATTTTTGTCAAATCAAGCTTGTTACAATAAAAGTAGGATGGTTGCTGTGTGCAGTGCCTTTAGAAATGAATATGTAATCATTGCATTTAAATATCCTAGACTTTTGAAATTCAAATGAGTTTAAAAAGAACTTAAACTCTGCACATCCACATGTGATGCAGACTGCAGATATCAAATCACGGTATATTAGTCGGTTGGCGGATCGCTTTTCCGAGGATAATAATCCCTTTAAAAAAATACAATTCGGTCACTTCAATCCACGGCTGTTTGTGGGGACGCTGCTGTGCGCAATTGGCTGCCGGGTTTCGCCCCCAAAATATAGAGTCAATTCACTTTACAGTATATTCTGGGAAGCCCTTTGGGACGTCTCGAAGGTATGATATGGCGCTGTATCAAGTGCCAGGATTATTATATGTTATATTATTACATTTTGACACCGAAGCTACCAACTCAGGTTACAAAGTGATGTGAAGCTGTTGTATGAAAGTCACACATATGGGCCAAGATTGAAACGCAATCATGGTTTGGGTAGGAACTGAACTTTGTCCGTTGATGAGAATGTGGGATTAATAAACTTGTGATGGTGCTATTGCCATCCGGGCGGGTTGGAGGACTTTTGCACCTGATGAAAATGGACGGCTTTGTGTTGTGGTTGAACAGGTAGCGTTCCCACCATTATTGTGTTATTGATCAACAGTCAGTGTCTGCATAGGGTTCTGATGGATGTGAAGTGTGGGCAAGCACTGAACAGTAATGGAGGTTCAGGCTGGCTGCACCAATCAATTTCAAATTGATCATTCCTTTCAAAAATCAGAATCAACAGAAAGTTAATTAACCAATTAATTTACTTGGCATCGGGACAGTCAATAGAGCAGTGTTATGGTACAGTTAACACAGACTTTGTTCCGGTATTTTGTATCCTGTTCCACCAAGTTACTAGCGGCAGGTTGCTATAATAAATGTGCTTTGGGGATTATGGCTTATTAGCTAGGGGAATGAAACTTTTTAACTGTAAAGTGTAATTACGATGCTAACACAGTGCTGTCCTGTGCAAGACAATAAATTAGCAATTAAATCAAGTTTGCGAAGGTTTCATGAGTCTGAATATTTAATTCGTTTTTTTCAGCAGTCAAATCGATAATAATAATAATAATAATCCTTGCATTTGATACAGCGCCTCATCATGTCATCGAGACATCTCAAAGCGCTTCACAGGTTATACTATAAAGTGAATTGATTGTGTTTTTTTCTGTGGGCAAATGTTGGATAACCACAGAATTAACTGATACATTCATTAAACAAAAGTATTTCAGTGGGACAACTGAAACCATGATCAAATAATTGTGTTTTCACCCACAAAGTATTTTTTGCGATGTCTAGGCTCCCCAACTATTAGGTGCTGTCTTCCCCACTTAATATTTTCAGCCTGAAAATGAATACATCAGTTTCCTATTCCTCCGCAGTCACATCTGCCTGGCTCTGCCTCTCACTAATGGTGCCACGAGCTGCACAACAAAACGAAATGAGAACATGTTTGTTAGATATCATACATTAAAGGAATTGGCTCTCGATCTCTCTAGCTGCAGGGTCACTAAATATATTTCAATTGTGAGAGGATGGAATATTTGATACATTAATAATAATAATCCCTGCATTTGATACGGCGCCTTATCACGTCTTCGAGACGTCTCAAAGCGATTCACAGAATACACTGTAAAGTGAATTGGCTGTATAAATTTGTGGGGTGGAATGGTTTTAATTCAAGGCTGTAATCTTGAATGTTCAGGTTTCTCATGAATATATACAGTATATATATATATACACACACACATTCATACAATTGCTAGAATCAATATTCAGTTACATTTGGTGGAATCAAAAAATTGGATCCTTTGAGTCCAAAGTTAATTTTGATTTGATGATGAGAGCCTTGGCCAGACTACAAATGCTGCAGATTTTACTATATATATATATAGTACATATATATGCAGTTTGTGTCAGTTCTGTGTTGAATCAATGTTGTAAGTGTCTTTAGAAGAGGCTGTTTCTGAATTGAATTGAAGTGCTATAACTCCTGCCTCACTACAGCTGAGGCAAACCAACTTCACTGCTGATGTTTCAGATCATCCTGAGGTACTGTCAGGGGCTAAACCTGCTGCTATACTTGGTGCCCATTTGATCTGCACAATTTATCTACGCAATTTCTTGCAATTTGCCATTTGGTTCTTATCTGTCAGGAATCAGCATTTGGCATGAGGCATCATTAGATTCGGTTCAGATTCAGCTTCAGGTTAGTGCAGTCCTACTCCCACAGATGCTGGAAAGGCTAAACGAAAAATAGATTCGGGCAAAATATCTTTTCACAGAGTGATATAACTCATGAATTGTGGAGTCCTGGAGCTCAGTGATTA